TTTCTTGGGTAATTCGTTGCCTCCTAGTTAGGTTAATGCAGGGCAAACCTCTTATTTCGTAGAGCACTTAGGGTTTGGTTGTGGGTGGTCGTTCGAACTCCAATTTGTGGGTGAAGTCTAAACATTCCTTAGTTAATAGGTTGAGAGGGTCACATTAGTGGCTTGGATCGTATCTCATTTCCTCAACCTAGAGACTAAGAGGGTAAGTTAGGGTACTTGTTGGACAACCATTCCTTAGTTAATAGGTTTAGAGGGTCGCATTAGTGGCTTGGATAGTATCTCATTTCTTCAACCTAGAGACTAAGATGGTAGCTTTGGCTACTTGTTGGACTACCATTCCTTAGTCAATAGATCGAGAGGGTCGCATTAGTGGCTTGGATCGTATCCCATTTCCTCGACCTAGAGATTAAGAGGGTAGCCTTGGTCACTTGTTAGACTTCCTGCTGTTTTTGACCCCCCCTAACCACACACAGTTGTTTGATTCTTCAAGTCGTAATTGTCAGCTGGGGGGGGGGGGGGGGCAAATTCCGGGTGAAGCCTTCTCAATTAGTGTCGAATCCATCTTACCTTTGCAAAAAAATTTAGCTTTAGACATATGTTTTCACCAAAACTCATTCGCTAGATAATGTTTCAAACAATCAAAGTAGCAGTACATGGGCCGACGCAGGTCGATATTTAAACATACGTGCCCTATATTGCACCCATCTAAGGTTTATACTTGGTTTAGGTGAGATTTTATTGTGATATTCAGAGCGAGTCAGCTGGATTGGTCGTGAAGTCACAATCGGGCTGTGCCATGCATTTTGCTTTCTTGTTGGATTTTCCTTGCACCAATAATCAAGCTGAATATGAAGCTTTGGGATTGAGTTGGAAATTTTCATCGAGTTGGGAGTCCGTGACATGAATATTAGGGGGATTCACAACTTGTGGTCCATCAAGTCCATGAATATTTTCATTGTATCAATAGTGTTTTGGAAACATATTTGGACCATATTTTTTCGTTGATCTCCCACTTTGATAATAAGGTAATCAAATATATTCCTCAAGAAAACAACAATGAAACCAAATATCTTGCACATATGGCCAGTGCTGTTAAAAGCGCGATTCTACCTAGAAGCCAAAAATGGGTAAAATCGTTAAACGTAGAATCAAAACGTAAAAACGTAAGTTTTTGACGCACCCTCTAAAATAGCTAAAATATGTTAAGTACAACATATAGTATGTAAAATGTGAGTGTGTAGATTTTAGATAAATGAATAACTACATGGAATTCATAATTAAAATGTAATATCTAACACATAAACTAATTTGTGTTGACTCAAAAGTAGAGAAAACTCATAACATCTTAATAATAAGCTCATAAACGTAGATCGAAACCCGTAAACGAGGTTGAGAATCCAAATTCTCATAAACTGGTTTGAGTTTACATAATTACATACGATCAATTACCCATAAACTTTTATCGTAACCCATGTAAGAGCCAGAGGTGAAGATTAAGGGAGAAGACAAATAGAAGGTCAGCGGCTGTTGAGAATACCATTAGGTGTCTTTTCAACCTAATATGAAGCCCCTATCTAGACTCTAGTTGTAGAACGAGTGATGAATCATGTTTTCCTTTATTTTTTATTTTTTGCTGATATGTCTCCAAAATTACATCATTTTGGGCCAATTAGTACATTTTTATGAGATGATCAAAGTCGTATAAAAATGCTTCAGAATCGCGATTTTGCCGATTTTAAGCAATTTTACCGATTTTACCCATGTTTTTACCAGTTTTTGTGACTAAGCGAATTTAGGTAGAAATTGAAACATTTTGGTGACCTGGATACGTAAAAAAGTAATTTTTTAAGTTTTAATGCGTGATTTTTGACATCACTGCATATGGCTTACGCAAACGTTTGAAAATTGAGCCAAAGATATGCCAATTTGAAGACGCTAATGACTGCCATGCACCATTGTTGGTTTACTTAGAAGGTACAAACATATAGGTTGAACACATTGTCAAGTTTAGAGCAAGATGCTATATCTTTTTGGATAGAACGTTGTATAAGTACAGACCTGCTAGCTTGCAGATGAAATGCTTGGGGGCAATGAAGATTTGCAAGAAATGGCAAAGGTGCACGAAAGAATCTATGGAGCCCACCCAGTTGGTCCTTCCATGGGATTGATTCTGCTCGTTACCATTACTATTGGCCCACTATTGGTCCTGACTGTGCTGGCGTTTGCTAAGGGTTGTGAAGCTTGCCCATGCTACGGCCCTATTTTTTAAACAAATAGGTTTTCATAATTTTTGCTATTGACTACTTCACGAATTCGATAGAGGGAAAACCTCTGAAAGTTGTGAATCAAGAGGATATCATCTATTTCATACCTAGAAAACATTATCCATTGATATGGTTTGCTGGTAACAATAACGGCGGACTAGGGAACTATGTTCACTAAAGGGGAAATTAAGGAGTTTGCCACAAAACGGTGTATAGAAATTATTCATTTCACTCCATACTATGCACAAGCTAATGGAAAAGCAGAGACATACAACTAGGTTGTGAAGAACATCTTGACCAAAATGATTGAGGACAAAAAAAAAAAGTGGCACGAAGTTTTATCATAAGCTATGTGGGCATATAGGATGTCACCGCGCAAAAGTACAAGAGTGAGCTCTTTCTCGTTGACTTACTGTCAAGAAGCATTCCTTCCTGTGGAAGTCGCTGTCCAATCACTCTATTACATGAAGCAACACGAGTTAACACCCCACGAGTATCATGAATCAATGATGCTCGAACTCGGCGATATGGATAAGTTGTCGTTCCAAGCCCTCGATAACATTCAAGTGCAGAAAGCAAGATTTGCAAGAGCTTACAATAAGAAGGTTATGCATAAGTCATTTGAGGAGGGAGAGCTTGTCTGGAACGTCCATTTGCTCTTAGGAGAGAAAGATCGTAAGTTTGGAAAATGGTCATTGAATTGGCCTGGACCACTCATTGTGCATTCTATGCGCCCCTAACGGGGCCTACCTACTAAAGTATTTGGATGGAGTGATGCATGAGCGTTTAATAAATGGTAGGTATTTAAAGTCGTACTTTGTCGAATTGTCGTAGCTCTTTCTTCTTATGTTTCCATCTCATCAAATGTTAGTTGTTTGTTTTATTTTAATCATTATTGTGCCCAAATAGAAAAGGATTGTTCGATCGTCATAGCATTGTTGGACAAAATCAAACTCAATGTGGTTTTTGCAAAGTCTAACCATGACGCTTCCTTGGCCTCAAACATGTGAAAGCTAAATTACAACGTCCAGAATAGTCTAAGAAATACTAGCTAGCTATTTTTCAATTTTAAGAAATCAAATTTACAGCCATGTGGTGCTACAAGTTGTACCGGCGTTGTAACAAGTAGAAGAACCAATGTTAGTGTTTTTTATAAGGGTGATACCATTTTATTAATTTAAAAAGAAAAAATTATTAGACAAAAATACACATGTTTGGTAAATGTGGAGGAGCGAGAGTTGATGGAGAAGGAACTGGAGGTGCAAACCCTAGATCATGCAGGCACAACAGTAGCAGTCCTTTACTGTTTTTATTACCTTAAAAAAAAAGTAGCAGCCCTTTACGTTGGGTCGACCTACCTGGTTGAGTAGGTTGATGATTGAGGCAGAATGTGCCTTCCTTGGGCCCGATCGTATAGCAAGAGGGTAGGAGGGAGTAGTTGGGCTTACTTTGGGCCAAGAGAACTAATAGAGTGGGTTGAACAACAGATTATTTATGGGCCAAGTCCTCAAGGAGAACTTGGGTTTCAAATGAGCCCGTGAAATGAACTTGGGTTGCGACAGATTGATGTTTAAAGACAGATTATTGTACGAGAAGGAAGCTAATAGTGGGCACATGAAAGTGAAAGAATTAAGTAGAAATCAATAAAAGAATTATCTTTGCAAACCATAAGCTCTCTCTGTCTCCTAATTTCTCTTCTTCCCTAATCCAAAACTTCAACCGATTCTTATTCTTTTATTCTACTTCCCCAAATTCTCAATTCCAATCACCCAACACTACCAATAGAATCCTAGAATTAAGTTTCTATCAGTAGGCTCGTGATTTAGAAGTGGAACGGTATTGTTGGTTACGCAGTTGGTGATTCGTTGTGCTAAGTCAGGGTCGATAATGGATTAATTAGCGAACCACGCTGGTGTGGAGGGGCAAGGTTTCAGATTCTGCTATGTGCTATGCAATCCATTCTTCCTGGTCAACAATGTCAACAGAAAATTACTATTATGCAGAAAATTCTAGTTATGTACTAGGTAAGTTGATTAAATTAACTTTAGTACTGGGAGTGATTGGCGGTCTTGATCAGTTGCATCATTACTCTCCCTGGAGGAACAGGTTTGTTAACGTGGTTATTTTGTTAGCCTGTCCCAGTCGTCGTAGAAAGCGAAACCAAGGACACAAGGACCAGGAAAAGATTGGGGGGAGCAGGAAAGTTGACGACCAATCACTACCCAACCCAACCCAAAGCTCTGCTTTATTCCACCATACATACCTGCCATTTCAAGCATCCATGACCTTCGACCACAACTTTTGTCTCCCTCTCTATTCGACCTCACACAACCCTCCATTATTAAGCCCGCCACGTCATGGTCCTACGTGCCAAAACACTCCCATAAGAACCTCAATTCCATGTACGTACTCCTTTCTTCCCATTCCCACACCTCAAACACACAACCAAATTTGAGGTAACCAAACTTTTTTGGTATAGGGTCATTGCACCAGACCAGACCAGACCAGTCCGTCTCTCCTTTTTATCACAAAAACAGGACAGCCCCACAAATGATAATCCGTGTGGTGCAATGTCTTTGACTCCTTCCTAGCTCTCTCTCTCGACCATAAAGCCAAACCCACCACCTTTTCTCTAGTGATTGGAAACCCAAACGAGAAAACCCTTTATTATCATTACGCTTCCCCTTTTCTCATCATTACACTAAATATATATTTATCCTCCCTTTCTAGTTCCTCCCTCCCCATTATCCTCTTTTAAGCTAATCTTAGTTAACACCTAGCCTTAGCCATGTCCACGAAAACCATGAACAACTCTACAGTAGTCAGCAGCAGAAAGGAAAGATTCCTCCACAAACTCAAGCTCATCGGCCTAGTCCCACAACCTCAAACTAACTACCACCTCAACAAAACTACTCCACAAATCAAAGAGGCAGAAGAAGAACCCCATGATCAAGTGGCGGCGGTGAGGTGTCCGCCAGGTGGAGCCGAGGCTGCGATCCTCTACACCACGAGCTTACGGTCGATACGGAAGACGTTCGAGGACTGCCACTCCATCCGCTTCCTGCTGCAGAGCTTCAAGGTGGCGTTCCAGGAGCGCGACGTGGCGATGGACTTGGGGTTCAGGGATGAGCTGTGGAAGGTGATCGGCGGCGGCGGGAGAGTCGTCCCGCCGCGGCTTTTCGTCAGAGGGAAGTACATAGGGGGAGCTGATGAAGTCATCACTCTGCACGAACAGGGGAAGCTGAGGAAGCTGTTCGATGGAATCCCGACGGTGGGTTCGCCAGCAGGCAATTGCGGGTGCGCCGGCTGTGGCAACTTGAGGTTTGTCGTGTGCACCAATTGTAATGGTCGCCGGAAGGTGGTGGCAATCGGCGGCGGCGAGCAGGAAGGTGGTGGTGGTGGTGGTGGGGATTTTGTTAGGTGCTTGGAGTGTAACGAGAATGGACTTATGAAGTGCCGCATTTGTAGCTGAAGTAGGTACTCTGTCGACACTATAATGTGCATTGGTATGTGGTAGTGGATAGCTGTTTGTTAGTGTAAAATAATGAATGGTATTCTAGGACTTGTTTGTAAAATGGTAAAATTAAGATTTGGTGATTTTACGTGCGTGTGTCATGTGTATATTTGACAATTCTTCATCCTTAATCCAATCTCGATAACATTGTTTTTTTCCCTCATTGTCTTCCTCCAATCTACATGATGTTATAGTATTGTTCGGGTGCGTTATTTTATATGTAGGGCTCTATGTTGAAAGTTACACATATACCTCTTTCATGAAGGCGTGATCATTAATTCAAGGGTAAAAACAATTTAATAGCCAAACCTATTAGAAAACATTTTATTAGTCAAATCGTCAACTCTCCGTCTGGTCAGTCGTTAGTTGACTCCGACGTGGAAAGAAACTGTACATGTGGCACATTTTTTCTGTTGTGGCACCTAATTAAAATTAATGGGAAAATGAAATAAGAAAAGGGAAAAATCAACACATTATCTAATCTCTCTCTCTCTCTCTCTCTCTCTTCATTCTCTTCCACCAATTCTCCCCGTTCGAATTCCTCCCTCAAAGAAGAAGCCCTCTCCTCCTCCGGCGAAACCAAACCCATCGCCCTCCACTGAACCAAAATCAACGGCGCCGGCTTCGTCCCTCGTCATGTGAAAGCCGGAAAAAGCTAGCGTCGCTCCCGGACGGGGCTTTTGGCGAAGGAAACGTCGGAGCGCTGGCGAAGAGACAGACGAAGCGCTGGCGAGGAGACGACGGAGCGCTGAAGGAGACGACAGATTTTTTCCCCTCATATTCCTTTTTTCATCGCAATCACTTCCCTCCTCTCATGGTGCCATCTCCTTCTTCTCCTCCTCATCAAATAAATCTGGTTAATCTAGAACAAAAGCAGGCGAATCGTCAAGCGCTCTTAGCTATTCTAGTCGGAAGGAGAGGGATGGGTACGGCGACGAGGGGAAGAAGGTAAGTAGTTGTTATGGTCAGAAACAGGGGACGAGGGGAGAGCAACCGTCACTACGAGCAGAGAGGGTGAATGAGAGCAGCGGTGGTCTTGCCGTAGATGATTATCCTGCGATTGAAGATCTGGAGTTGGGTCGGATGGTGGTTAGATCTGGGGTTAAAGAATCGACGAAACCACAGCGGCGGTGATGGCGGGTGTTTGAACGATGGCAAAAGAGACGAGCGAGGTCATGAAGCAGGTTGAGAGGGCGGCGCAGCCACACCGGGACAGACGCAATGCACCTAGACGGTGAAAGCAGATGCTTCGCACAGCCGACGCCGTCGATTATGGAAGAACAGGCGGTTACCCTAGGTCTGCTATGTTTTCTTCTTTAGGTTTGTTTTTGTCAAAAATGGAAAATTAGGTCACTTTAATCGACCCTGTGTATCATTATGTTAGTATAATCCCCATCAAAGTAAGGTGGCCACTGATCGTTCACCTTATTCCCAGTAACCAAATAGAAAACCCAGAATAAGGAAACTAGAAGCTTGATAACAGAGAGAAGGAGATTTGATTATGTAAAAGTTAAATTAAAAAAATTATATAATATCTATGTGGCATGGTCAAACATTTGACTTCTTGCCACATCATAAAAAAATCTTCCATCTCACTTAATATTTTGCCACGTCATAGTCAACTAACAGTTGACCGGACGAAAAGTTAACGGTTTGGCTATTAATTTATTTTTGAAAAGGTTTGGATATTATTTTGTTTAGAATAAAAGGTTTGGCTATTAAATTGTATTTTAGCTTATTTGAAGCACACAATCTGCTCTGGTGGGTACTTCTTATAAGTGATATTTGTACTCCAAATCAATATTTTTACTATAAAATCGTATTAATTTTATAGAGATCATTGGATAAAGAAAAGAACATTGACACCGTTAATAAATTAATAAATAAATAAAACAACTATTACCCACTATATTTGGTATTCGCCTATTTTGTTCTAACTCGGAGTCAAACATCACTAATGGAAAGAGGAAAAAAATTGACATGAATTTGGGTTATTGTTCGAGAGGCAGAGAATATAGAACAGTGGAGGATTTTGGAATGATTGCAAGAGAAGGATAATGATGGGGATTGCACATGGGGTGAGGGGAATTCTTCTGGGGGCATAAGATAATATAATTGAGGCAAAGCTTGGTGGGTCAATAAGAAAAGGTTGATTGGTGCCATAAAGGAAAAGAGTGGTGGTGGAGGTGGTTGCCGATGAGATGGGATTAGTTGAGTTTCTGATGTTGGACCAGGCTTTCACGCCAATGTACATTAGCTACTCATGTACTTCTCCTTCTACTAATTAAGCGTTACTAAGGACTTCATAATCAAATTTCAGAGCTCTTAGTAGATGTTTGTAAACTATAATTTTATGTGTGGTACCAGTAATACTTTTTTTCATTTTCTTTCGTTTTGATCAAAACTAAATTGCAGTCAACGAGAACGACTTTTAATTGATCATATGATCTGTGTAACATTCGGAAAATTGACAATAAAAAATCATTTAGATATTATACACACTATATGTAATTGGGTTTCTTTCTTTCGTCAAAATCTATAAAAGAAAATCTCAGCAAACACACTAATTCTTTGAAACTAATTGTGACTTAACCTAATTAGCAATACTCAATGGATTTTCTGACAAGAACGAACATGCTTTTCACTCACTAATAACCAACCTAAGCGCTAACGAAACCATGCCAACTGAACATAACCAGATACCTAACGCAATAGAGCCAGGTTCTTATAACCAAATGTATTATTGGCTGACAACTAGTAGTGACGTCCAATATGGCCAAAGGTTAGGAGGAGAGAGGATAGAGCTAAACCACATCAGAAAACATTAAAAAAAATCAGGGCCAGTATGTACAATCTTTGTAGTTGTTCCACAATATAACACGACCACCCATCAAAGGTAGCTTGGAACCTCAAACATAGTAGTAGTACTAACCAAAAACATCGATTAAGGAGGGCCGGGGTTGCCATAACTCTAACATACACTACCAGAAAATTCAGTTTTTGCAACGAAATCCGTCGCAGAAAGCCTATAAATATAACCTACTTCCGTAAAATTTTGCTTTTAGGTGCATCATGATGATTTTCTGAGAGTACATTTATCTCGCCACTACTTCGCACATTACAAGAACTCATCCATTTCACGCCAAAATGCATCTTGTCAGTTATGATTGGATGGTTTCTTATGAACCATGGTTATCTCTCATCCTTTGTCGACATGAGATATGCATAACCATAATACACCCCAAAAGTAAAATCGTGTGGGGTAAGTCTAAAGCAAACAATATAATAGTCAGGATAAGGGGTTGAGATGTTAAAAGTGGTATCATAGCCTCTTCGCACTTCTGTTGAATAGTGGAGGGGCAAACCTCAATGAAGACTTTGATTCCAAAGAGGGGAGTAATTTCACACCTTAGGCAAACTCACATCGAAAATATAACGGGAGAGGTAAATGGTACACGAGGAACAATCCAACATTGTCATCATCATGTAATGTTCTCAACCTCTATCTTTATAAATCTCATCATGTCCGGCTAATCTTCTATTTATTCCAAATTTGATGAACCCTAATTTGTTTTACATGGACTGAGTGGTATCTTTAATATAGACGTGTTGTTCTCGTTCTTAAGATCTTTTCTCGACTTATCATGTGCAAGTACCAATAGTACGTGTCTATTGTATATTTTGTCTGATACATGTAAATGACACTGCAAGGTAATTTTGCATGTTAGATCTTTCGTGAAAATAAGGAAGTGATCGGAGCCACCGGCGATGGGGTCACGTAGTTCTTCTAGATTACCTTAACAACCAAATACGAAAATTCAGAAGTCTGGCTAATGCTTTGGTTTAAGAGTCTTGTAAGCCAAGATTTCACTTGATTCTTAAGTCAAAAGAATGTTAATACATGTGCGAACGGGTTACACTAAACTGGGAATTTTCATAGTCTAAGATGAACACTCGTCTATGTTAAATTCAACTTTTCTGTAAAATGCATATTAGAGGGATTCGCTTCTGTGTCAACATCTTATATAGTTGATTTTACTTTGAAAACTATTCTATTGTGTTTTTATCATAGCATGTGCTTTTATATCTTAACAAAATCACTAAAAACGATTGACTAAATAATAGGTAAAATCCAAGTACTAGTACACGTAGTCTTTGTGGATACGACCTTTCTTCCTGCTATACTGTCCTAGATCGATAGGTACTCTTTCCTATTTTTCCTGTGTTAGTTATGAGCGATCAACTGCCACACTTGGTATCGTTATAGGCTACTAGAATTGATGCTTACACCTCAAATGGATGCAAGCTCGAGTTAATGAGGAACACATTCAAACATACAAAAGACACCATAAAGGAATCAAACACAAAAGATAGAAAGAAACGTCAAGCATATCATACAAGAATCGAAAATAGAAAGTTGTGAATCTCTAAGGTTTGCAAACATATGCAACTAAGGGGACTAGTCGGATCATGGGGATGAGAACCATGGATTCATCATTCTAAATGAAGATCCCACAAAGTCTCTAAAATCGGCGCCCTGAACAAAGAAGTTGGGGACTAGGCTGACGATTACCTTTTGGTTATCGTTGTCGTTCTAAGTCATGTGGATCATTATTTCGACAGAGTAACGACCCTATAATGCCTCCTATCAATAGCTGCCAAACCCCCCCCCCCTTGGAAGTCTATTTATAAACTCCTTAGAGATTCGGTAGAGAGAGGATGATTAGAGGACACTTTTGACTCCCTTTATGTTTCTTCTATCTTAGCCATCACGTAGAAGAATTTGGAAACTTATGGTCGATCTTCAAACGACACTTGTATCGCCGATTTAGAGGTTAGGACGCAGTTTTGTGAGTCGTTTCAGTCATCTCTCCATTTCCTTTGGCTCCCAGTAGTAGAGCCCTAATGTCCCTACGATGATCCAATGGGGTCCACTAGGTTGTTATATCCCGAAAACACAGAAACACTCCTAAGAGTGCATCAAAATGATAAAAACAAGTCTAATGCTTCTAGAATATACTTTGGTTGATGAACAAACAAATTCAATATATTATGACGTTAAAGTATGAAAATCATGAAAATAGATC